GCGCCCGGCATCCGTCTCCCGTTCTGTTGGAGGGCGGGGTGAAGGATGATCACAATTCAGCCCATGAGCCCGCCGAGGAGAATCCCCGGCCCCGCCGGGCCTGTGCTTTGACGGCGCTGTGGCCAGCCGAGGCCTGTGTGTGCTGGCACGGGCAGTGCAGGCAGCCGCACCGACTGCTGCTTCCAGGCCGCATCGCCTTGCGCGCCTCACCCGTCGGCACGGCTCTATTTCTGTGTGAGTACATGTTCACCCAACTGCCAGGCACCATGGCAGGACTGCACCTCCCGTGGTCTTCTTCCTTGTGCCAACTGACAGGTTTCAGAAGATGACAATCAAGAACTAATGTCAAGGCCTCATCATTACCTTTGTGGAGGATGGCACAAAGCTCCCGAGATCACTTTCAGATCACTTAAAGTCTGTTAAACTCCTCCTTGGGAGTCTTGTTTGCTTACAAAGGTATCAACAAGGAGCAATGCCTCCCACTTAGTATGTCCTTCCCTCAGAAGTGTAAAGAGGTGCAGAATGCCTTTTTTTTCTTAATAAAAATGTGTTGTCAGTAAAGATGTGAGAGCCTGTGCATTTAAAATAAGAAAATGTCTTAGAGCTGCTCAAACAGAAACATTTTACGTGAGAAACAAGTTACAGTGGGAACAGCATGAGAAAGCACACACCATATCAAAGGGGGCCACTGAGCTTTATAAAATAAGGATTCACCCTGCCACCTTGCTTTATCTTCGTTCTTTAGTTAAATTTTTTTCTCATCCAGTTTACATTACTGTGGTTAATTAGAAAGGCATGTCTGGCTTATTGGCTTGCAGGAGATGTGATGCCACTAAAGCGCAGAAATAAATGCTATTTGAGGTAACGTGCTCCAGTTGAGGTAGCCCAACTAGCTGTCAAACCATCTCGGCCTTTCAACATAGCAGCAACATTAAGTTCCAGGAAGAGCTGAAATAGTACCATATTTCTGTCCCTTTTGCAACATCAGTGAAACTCTACTGCTTATCACTGCAAGTAGCACCTTGACTTAACACACCTCTCTTGCTCTTTGTCCCAGCTGTTCTTCCCTGCAAAATTTTCCTTCTTCCAGGTGTGGTGGTAGAATTAGTAATATTTAAGATCTGAGAGGGCTGGCTAAGAAATTTATCCTAAGAGAACATTCCTTTCAACTAAAAGTCTGTGATTGTTGCCAGCTTCCCACTTCTGAGCTAAAGGTAGCACTTGTTGAGCCACACCCATAGGCTCCACCAAGAGCCATCCCTCTATAGTGTCATGTTTGATTCCTTCTTAGAAATGCATCAGTTAACAAGCTGCTTAAGGAGTCTATGCCTCCCAGGCTGGATACCTGGCTTTGTTAACATCAGAATTACTGGTTTGCCTCACCTTTTTCTTTTCTGAAACACTATATAGGGCACGTCTCTACAATGACTTGGCAGGGAACCAAAGTGGAGAGGGAGACGCTGCCCAAACGTTCTCTCACTATGATCATAGCTAGTAACGCCTTTGTCTGACCTGTCTTAAGTTGTAGCAGTGTTATTACACACTTGGGGTCCCCAGATCTCCAACAGAAGTTAATAATCACGGGATATGTTTATCAAAAACTCATTAATAAAATCATAACATGCAGCTAATTTTTATAAAAAACACAGCCTTAATTAGAAATACCTTTTAATTTACACTAAACAATAATAGAAAATTATTTAAGCTGTAAAAATACACCATTCTGATCAAACAATAAAAAATACAAACAAAAAATAATCACAGAAATTGATGCTGCCTATGACTAAACCTTCTGAGCGTCAAGAATGAGCTTCTCCATCTCTTTTAGAAGGTCACAAAAAAACCCCACAAGTCACATCTATGTTTCTGCTAAAAACCAGAAACGTGAAAAATTGCTAAATCAGGGAGAGGAATCTGGAAGAAACAAACAGTTGAGTAACTGGGAAAAGCCTTTCCAGGCTCTTTGGCTCTCACAATACAGGCATCTTTACCAACATACACTTGGAACAAACCAGGACTACACCGATCTCCAGTCTGAAGGCACCTGCGGATGACCCAGCACTGGAGTACCCCGTATCCACAACTTCCCTCACTCAGCCAGGGGCTGGATTGGTCCAGAGGGCTGAGAAGCAGTCAAAGTTGGCAGGTTTCTCCACCAGATGAAGGGGATGAAGGTTAACCTTAGTACTGAAAACTGCGTTTAGTCTGAATGTCATCAAGAATCTGCTGTAATTCCTCATCTTCAAATCGTCCTTCTAGGCTGCAAGATAAAAATACTGAGGGTATATTAAAGATTTCAGAAATAATCTCCCCCCCGGTGGATTATTTCAGACAGCCACAATTCTCTCCCAACAGTCTCCACACCATCATCACTCAACTGTATGGAACCACTAGGAACCGTTACAACATTACTGTACAAGGACCACTCTAATATTTTCCTTAAATGACAAAACTCTGCCTTTCTCAGAACTTTCTGCTGAATAATTTTGAAAGGTTTTACCAAAAAGGCAAGGCAGGTGCAGGTTTAAGTGAAGTTCACGTAGCCACATGCTCATAAACCAGTCCAGACTTCCTATGAAATCTGAGCAGGAAGAAACTGTAATTCAGAAGAAAGTTTTGTTCCCTCCTCTAGCTCAGGCCATGAGGTAACAACTCAAGACATGAAGAAGTTACTGCTCCTCCGTATGTTATACACAAAACAGTTCATAGGAGCACTGTCATTTGCTCGGATAGAAAACAAACAAACCAACCCACAAACAACTGGGTGGGCTAAAAACTCTAATTTGAACTGTTTACACTTAATTCAGTAAACGTTGCTGGAAGGGCATTAGGGACACTTACGAACAGTGCCTCACTGTCAGATCAATGGGTAGGTCAATAAACACCAAGACCAAAAGTTCTTCCATCAACAGAGTTGGACTGAAGAGAGGGCATGTGCCCAGAGCTGGCTTTAGATCACAAGAAAGTATAAAGCGGTCATTTTATTATATGCAAATGCTCACCTAGGAATCAAAGCTTTGGCTTCCTCGGCTGTCTCAGGGCACAAGTTGGCCAAACATGCCAGTTCAAATTTATGAAGCTTTTTCTGGAGCAGCAAACTGTAAGGAAAGACAACTCAGGGGAATTACAAGACAGAAATATAAAGGGGGTAAACTAAACCAAACAGGTATCTTTTTTCATTCTGCTTTTGGCACTGAAGTCAATTTTTTTTTCAGGAGGAAAGACTCACTGTGTAATTGCATACAGGAAAAAAAAAGTCTCACCTCTTAACTCCACTTTCCCTGTTTACAAAGTTTAGAAATTCCTCCCATCTAATGCAATCAGCTCTCATTTAAACTGTGAACACAAAGCAGTTCAGAAGGCTTGACCTAGACAAAGTACAACTCTCCATGAAGAATTACGATCAAAGTTCTTGCCTCTTCAAAATGACAATATTCAGAATGACGGTACAAATCAGAAAACACTACTGAACTGTACTTTCATAAACCAGAATCAAAATTACATACCAGATTCTCCAGTATAGTCTTACGCCCTACTTTTCTACTCACCTACGGACACTGGCAATGGTTTCACGGTTTTTGAAGCGGCTGAAGCGCGCCGTATAGTTCAAGGTTTTCATGAAGACTTCTGAAAGTTCTTGCTCATCTTCTGCACTCTCATTCTGTTGCTTACGATGCTCAAGAAGCATATGTACTTCTGAATTTAGAAGAGTTTCCGCAGTTTCAAATTCTACATTTGAATGAACAGACAAAAAGGTGAAGCATGAAAAAGTGCATTTGCAGAGGTTTTTTATGTAAATTTTGCCATTTTTATGTAAATGAATGCCATGTTTCATATCAATTGTGCAACTTCTTTCACTAATGACTGGGCAGCATTTCATATTTAAAATTTTACATTTGCAGCCCTAACCTTCTGATTTGTCACATTTTTGCAATACATTTTCTTTACCCATTTTTGGCAGGACTTAAGTAATGCACGATTTGGTTTAGAAAACAGAACTGTAATATTAAAAAAAATCAGAAAAAGTTGCGTGATGCCTATGGCTTTTGGAAGCCGATGAGTTCTTAAACTAAATGTGGATGGTGCTGAAAGTTTTAAAAGAGCCTTTGTTTGCTTGAAAGGTTAATTGACCTACTGAAATTTTATTATCAGAAAAAAAGTTTTAACTAAGCTTAACAGATTTTTTTTTCCCTTTTTAGTCAACTCTGTTTTTGTTCATCATCATCACAACCATATTTATTCCAATAACAAGAAGGTCTTCTAACATCGGCAGTATGAGCTGTACACCACAGCAAGATGGGAGGCTGCAACCTGATTTGTCCTTCAGCACTTTTATAAAAGCAGACAGATATAAAAGGCGGCACTAAAAAGGGATTGGCAACCTTTAATCTTCATGGACTGGTAAAGTAACAGGCTGCATATGGGTAGGCTGCAGATTTTAGAGTAAAAACATCCAAAATCAAGTCTTTCAGGACTATGCTTTCGTTTTTAACCCAAATCTACAGCATGGTGCAATTATTATTATTTTTTAATTATTTTTTTTTTCCTCCCTCCTCTTCCAGGGCCACTCTGAGTCATAAGTACAGCTCTGGAATGTACACCGAATAGCTTTCTGAAAAAAAAATACACAGACGGTGAGTATCCCCAGTTACAACTCAGGCTCCGGGCAGCTGATTTCCTAAAAACGCAGCACTATTGTAGTGCCAAGAAACATCAGTGAAAAATGAATGGTTATAGGAAAAAACATGAATCTTTTCACTATAACCCGATATGAAAACTGATTTTATTTTTTTTTAACTCTTGTACACACACATAAGTGGTCGCGTCAGTAGGGACAGACATACCTTAGTAATCATGGGGTACTCAAGTATCTCTCTATATATGTAAATGATTTGTTATCCCCGATTCTTAAGGCTTGGGGCTGTGTAGGAGCGGG